ACTGTCACCTCGGCTGTTGATACTAATCAAGAATTATTTTTTTAAGGCACAAAATTGCTTTTGTGTTTGCATTACAAACTTTGTTACATGTTAAAAATACCCTTGGCAAGGGTATAAATATATATGTATAGCTGCTAGATTTGCAGCTTATTATAAGTTGCCTCGCAGCAGAAACCTGTGCGCGACGCCTTTTATACTAAGAGCAAATCAAATATCAAATAAAGCAGACATATACATATACACACATATATATAGAAATACATATATACTTTACATTTTGTGTTCAGTTGAATAACTGTGGCGACCGCGTTGTCAACAATACGTTAAGCAGGGTTAGCGCCCCACGCATTGCGCTTTTTGCTTAGACGTCGCGGCAACAGCAGCAGCAACAGCAACAACAACAATTACGCGAGTGTCGACAACAGCAACAAGGTGGCAACGGCAACAGCAACAACAAGAACAAGAACAACAACGACGTCGCGTATACGCTTTAGATCTTTGCGTACTTTGCATATGTCTTTAATAAGGGCTTAAGAGCGTAAAAATGGCAAAAGTCGAAGGCTAAGACAAAAGGCGCAGGCCTGTTGCTGCGGGCTAAGGGCTGTGCAGTGGTAGCGGCAGTGGGAGTAGGAGTGGGAGGGGTGTGGGGTGTGTGGCACACAGTTGGCTGCTTATGAGCATGTTGTAAGTAGATACAAGTAGCTCTCGTCTTGACAGCTTTGTTTTCGCACATTCTGTTGTGGCAGGCGGCGATGCTGGCACCGCAGGCAACTTGCAAGAGAGAGAGAGAGAGAGTAGGGCGGAGGAGGGTAGGAGCGGGTGCGGAGGCCGGTTGGCACACTTGGCATTGTCAGCTGCGCAAAGTTTTTAATTAAAATAACCGAGCAATAAAACAGCGCAACAAAAATGCTGCAAAAATAATGGCAGCGGCAGCAGCAGCAGCAGCAAATGTTGCCGCCAGCAAATTGGCAATGACAATTTCTTATATGGGAGCAACACATCACGTATACGCCGCGTGCAACAGTGTGGCCCAGTAGCAATGTCCTTGTTAATGGCGTTTGGCTCAAAAAAGGGCGAAGCAATTAAAATTTTACAGCACTTCAGCTGTAAACTCGAACGACCTGCTCCCAAAAGCAGTTGTTGCTGGTCAAAAGCAATGGCCATGAACTTTGCCCTGTGCAGTTGGGCAATGGCAAGGGTTTGGTTATTTGCAAAGGTCGCTGAATATTTATTTAAGACTTACGCTCGAATTGACAAACGTTTTTGAGACTCAAACAATGACTCAGCAGCGGCAACAGCGACAGCAGTAACAAACAGCATGACGCTAGCAAAAACAGAAACAGCAACTACACCAAAAGCAGCAAAAGGAGCAGCAACAGCAACAGCAACTCTGGCGACAGCAAAACAAATTTAACAGCAATAGCAACAATGTTGTTGTCAATGGGGAAACAAAAGCACTTGCAACAGCAACAGCAGATGGGTTAACAGCAGCTACAACAAGGAACAACAGCAACAGCAGCAAAAGTACTAGCAACAACAACGGTAAATAACTCAACAGCAGCAACAGTAGCAGCAGCAATAACAGGAACAACAGCAACGGCATATTGGCAATAGTAACAATATCAGCAGGAACAGCAACAATTGCATTAACAACAACAATATCTTCAGCAACAGCAATACCAATGTCAACCATAACAGAAGAATAACAGCGGCAGCAACAATATAAGATGCCACAGCAAAAGCTACAACAATTATAATATAAATCATTACAAAGACAACAGCAATAGTTGCAGCAACAGCAACAACGTCAGCAACAGCTGCTATAAAAGCCACCAAAAGCAACGCCACGGCGATGGCAACAGCTTAATTAGAAGCAGCAGCAATGTGTATAAGAGTTACAGCAATAGAAGTAGCAACAGCAGCAACAACAGAAAACGTATCAATAACAACACCAGCAATAATATAACATAGCCACAATTGAAACAACAGCAGCAATCAAAAAGCCATCAAAAGCAAAAATAGCCACGGCAACAGCAACAATTTGAATTGTATCAGTATCAACAGCAGCAGCAGCAACAATCACAGCAATATTACTTAGCAACAAAAGAAAAAATTTCAATAAGAGCAGCAGCAACAACGGCAGAAAGTTTCAACTGCAATAACAGTAGCTGTAGCAATAGTAGCAGCAATAGTAGCAACAGCAGCAGCTACAGCAGCAGCAACAAAGGCAGCAATCGGCCAAATCTCAACTTCAACAATTACACTGGGACATTAGAAATGGTTCCAGCAACAGCAATACCCCCAGCAGCAGCAACAGCTCCTGCAGCAGCAACTGTATCGATAGCTACTTTGGGGAGATAAAAGGGAAACCCAACGGCAGCAACAGTTTGAATGGAAGCAGCAGCAGCAAAGTCTACAAAAAGACAACAATAACAGTAGCAAAAGTAGCAGCAATACTAGCAATGCTACTAGTATCAGCAGCAAGAACAGCAGCAATCAGCGGGAGGGACGACCACAACAGTTGCAGCAGCAGCAACTATATCGATAGCAACTTCAAGGAGCAACAAAGGCAACAATTTCAATAGGAGACCAGCAGCAGCAATGTCTTTAAAAGGAAGCAATAGAAAAAATCAGCAAAAATTACAACCATAGCCACAACTTCAACAACAACTACATCAATGACTAGGGCAACAGCAATAGTTGTTGCAACTGCAACAGTTACAGCTTCAGCAACTATATCGATAGCTACTTTAGGGAGCTAAAAAGGAAACCCAGCGGCAACAGCAACAGTTAAAACAGACGCAGCAGCAATGTCCTCAAACGCAACAGCCGCAGCAGCAACAACATTGCCAGCAACAGCAGCAACAGCAGCAAACGCCGACAACAACAACAACAACAGCTCATTAAAAAACCATAAATCAAATTGCAAGCTGCATAATGAACAATTTTTGCTTTACTTTCTTTTTTTTGTATTTGTATAAAACTTATTAAAAACGCGACTAAAGAAATTTCACAGCTTGTCGGAGAATGCGTAAAAAATGATGCGTCGCGTTGCTGGCCGAGAGCTGAGCTGAGCTTTACATCAAGATTGATTGATGACACGACGCGTCGCCACAGCGCCTCGAAAGTATGCAAAAGCGAAATTGTGCATATGGGGCGGCAGAACAAGGGGCCCAAAAATGTGGGCGTCATTGATGGGCATGTCATGACCGGGCCCACAGTTGTAAGGACAATGAAAAAGGCATTAAAATGCGGTCACTCGAGAGGGAAAATGGTGAGAGCTCTGAGCTCTGAGCTGAGAGCTGAGTTGTTGTATTGTGGTTTTGTGCGTGGGCGGCTCTGTGTGTGAGTGTGTGTTTGTGTGTGTGTGTGTATATGTATGTAGCTCCTGCCTCTCCCAGCGGCAGAGCAGCAGCAGCAGCAACAACAAGAGCCGAGAGCCTGAATAACAAATAGCATTTTTGATATGAATAGATGACTAAATTTGTCATAGTTGATTGACCGAAAAATTGTGCAGGGTATATACCAAAGAAATGCCAAGTCATGAATGGAAATTTTCAATTGAAATATTTTCTATGAATAGCGCTAATTGGGTATTTAAGAGCTGAGAATACGTTTAAGAATGTCAGAAATAAAAAAATTAAATCAGGAAACTATTTTGGCTATGATTCGATTTGAAACGGATTTTCGTGTAGCCTGATTGATGCAGTGTATATAAGCCAAATTAGGCAGCCAGTGTTGTAAAACTGTCAACCACTCATGCGATAGTATTTTAGGAGGCCTTGCGTGCTGTTGCCCTTTCTTTTGTGGAGTTCTACTCTACGTGCTGGAATTCTTATATTTATTTCTTCGAATCGAATTTTATGATTTCTAAGCTAAATCAGATTAATTTAGAAAAGAGAAAGTACGGCTGAAGGTTTTATATACTTGCCAATTGCCTTACGGCTTGACAGAAAAATCAGATTAATATTGAAGATCGTAAATGCTGAGTTTTGTGCAAATATCTTGAAAAACTGTCTATTTTGCCAAACAAAAACTCTTGGCTATATATAAGGCTATATAAAATAGAAGTTTGTTGTTGATAAGACATGGCCCATACATCCTATGATAGCTATACGATATAGTGGTGCGATCCAGCTGTTGTTGACATATGTACTGCTTGCAACATAAAGATGGATCTAAACAAAGTTTTAAGACAATAGCTTTATGACTGAGAGACTTGTTTGCATAGAAACAGACAGTCAAACATGGCTATATCAACTCGGCTGTTGATGCTAATCTAAAATATATATACTTTAAGGGATCGCCTTCTATGCAATACACATTTCATAACACAACTATAAAAGCCCTTTACAAGGTTTTTGCCATATTTAACAGTGTGGATGTAATATGATACGAATTTTAAGCGTTGTTCTATCTTCAAGGGGATTATTTTATATTGAATGAATTCTAATAGATCTTTTAAATTAAATGTGTTTAAGCTGCGAGAGTTTGTACTTTTTGAATATGCCAAATAAAGTTGTAACTATAGTTCTTAAAGATCTTTGTCAGAATATTTGGATTCAAGTGTTTCTTGGACTTGATTGTATTTTATGTTGACAGCTGCTGAAAAATTAATGAAACTCGGTTCATTTTATTAACTGCCAGGCACACGTAGCGTGCTGCATGATAAATGAAAGTTGTTGTTCTTTTTGTTGTTGCTGTTGTTGTTGTTGTTGCTGTTGTTGTCGGGGTACGGCATATGAATTATGCATAATTGTTGTCACTTTCAGCCCCCAAAAGAGCTGCTGACCAAACGAACACAAAAACATTTCCGGCTGCCTACAAGCGTGTGTGTGTGTGTGTGTGTGTGTGGTGTGTGTGTGTGTGTATGTGTGTGTGTGTGCGTGTTTTGGTGCTAAATATTTGCTGTGAATTGCGACACTTTCGACCGAAAAGAATTTTAGCAAAGTTTTTAAGTTTATGGCACATTTGATGCCGCTTGCAATTTTCATACGCACCACAAAAGCCGCGCCAACAATTTGATGGCACCTCATTTACGAGGTGGGGGAAGGGCTGCGCTGCGCTGCGGTGCGAGGGTATGGTTGGGGCCTGGCGTTAAGCTCCTTTAGTTGTGCCAAGGGTTTTAGATCCTGTAGCTAGGCTACATGCTTCGCTGTTGCCATATGCGGGGCACGTATCGAAGCTCGACGGCAACTGCAAGAGATAAAAGCGAGATGTATAAAAAAAATCTATATATATATATATATATATATAATCGCGCTAGGCAATTACGTTCGAGTGATGCCTTTCTAATTTAGAGCTTAATTTGTGCGGATTTAAGGCACTCGAGCTAGAAAAATGTTTATAGCATGGATATTTGTCTAGCTAGGCAGGTGGGCAACAGCAGCAACAACAATTTGCAACACTTTAAGCGCGTCGAGTCACGTTACGTATACGCCCCGGTTGGCGTGCACATAAATTTAATGCTTCACGTCTAAGCTGTATCTGTGTGGTGTGTGTGTGTGTTCGTGTCTGTGTTTTTGGGTTTATGTGTGCTATATATATATTTTTTTTAGCCAGACAACAAACCAGCCACAGTCGCAGTTGCCGTCGCAGTTGTCGTTTTAACATTTCCGCCCAACTTGCATGAGTTTCCGTTTCCGTTTTGCTGATTTTACGCACTTAAGTTCACCCGCAGCACTGTCCACTGTACTGTGTGTGTGTGTGTTTTTTTTTCCTTGCTTTTTATGCCATTAATTGCCCCGGCTTTTGGTTCCCCCGGGCTGCCCACGCCTGATTGCCCGGCCCGTAAGCAGGTGAATTGCGTATGTTTTTTTCTCTTTATTTATTTATTTATTTACTTCTTTTTTTTTTGCTGATTTTGGGTCATTTGACTACATTTAATGTGAGCTACAAATTGATTTCGGGGCACAGGTAACGGGCCATTGGGGAATCAAAGAAATCAAAACTTTGGCTTAATAAAAAGGGCGCCATGTCCTGCAAGTTCTGGGAACAACAACAACAAAAAATAAATATGTTTACAATGACATTTTGAAAACTTTAGATTAAATTAATATCATTTTTCGTTTGTCTTCGGCTTTCGCTGCCTAATCTTTGATTATTTGGCAACATCATTAATCTTTCTTACGCTTTTTAAATATTTATTTTGTTTAAAGTAGAGCTGAGCTTTGCTCTGAGTTATTTGTTTAATATACTTTAAAATTATTGAAATGATAGAATTACATATGATGTAATATAGTATTAAAAAATAACCAGCTGAAGGTATGGAAAACAGCAAAAAATATTCTGGCAATAAATTTCTCTAGAACTTAAGCTAAGCTCGCAAGCAAAGCAAAGCTTTCAGTCCAATTAGACTAAGTTATAATACAAGAATATAACCGTATTTTGTCAATATTGGCAAGAACTTGCAAGCAATAAAGGTGCCTGGTTCCTTTAGCCTTATAGATTGACAAACCTATGCTTTATAAGTTTCGCAAGACCTCTTAATACAACCTTTCCAACCATTTTCAATGAGCATAACAGACATGTGAGAGTATGTTAGAGTATGCCTTGTAAAAGTAAATAAAATTTTGACTGTAAGTCAACGCGTGGTTCATAAATGTTAGCTGAAACACAGATACGCACAAGTACGTTGTCGCTTTAGTCTGGTTTTGTAGCTCAGCTGGGCACAAGCTTTGAATTGACAGCACACAAAGTCCGGTGAAAGCCACAGAAGCAGCAGCACACCAATGGCCTGTCAACAGTTGTTGTTGTTGTCGTTGTTGCTGTTGTTGTTGTTGTTGTTGCTGTTGCATATGCCACAGCGAATATGTGGCATGGTCAAGAGACAAGAGCCCAACAGAGCAAGAAGCAAGTGCAGCAGCTGCTCGCTTGCTGTCAGTGCCAAGTGCTGCAACAATGCAAATGGAAATGTGCAGCAAGTGTACAAGTGTGTGTGCGAGTGTGTGTGGGCGGGCGAGTGGGTGTGGCACAAAGTGAAGCCCGAAATGACAAAACTGTCAAAGTGTCGACTCAACGGCAACGTTCGTTTGCCTTTGGTCAGATTGCCCGGAGACTGGCGACTGCCACCTGCCAGCCACACATGCAACGCCTCCCTCTCCCACCTCCCACCTCCCTCTCCCCCTCCCCCTCCCCCTACCCCTCCCCATCTCTATTCGTAGCTCACTTGGCTGACCAGCTAAATGCCATTTTTAGCTGTATTTGTGCTAAAAGCTTTGTTAATGGCAGCGTCAATATTTTCCAGGCTTTAATAAAAAAATGTTGAACGCAAAAAAAAAAGAAAGCAAATTTGGTAAGGGAAATGAGAAAAACGTTGCGGCAAATAAATGCGAATACATTGTGTGCATTTTGACGAATAAAATTGAATACACAGGGCACACACACACACACACAAGCACACACACACATACACATATGCATAAATGATATGTGGCCAAAAGCTACATAAATTCATTTGCCACAAGCCAAGAGACAGAGACAAAGAGAGAGAGAGAGAGAGAGAGAGAAAGTAAGAGTGAGAGGGAATGAAAACAGAGACGGGCAGAGACTTAATGAAATAGTAACCCTTTTTTTCGACACTGACAAACACAGTCAAGTCGAGCCCCCCAAATACCTCCCCCCCCCCCCACTCCCCTGGCTACACAGTGCAAAAAGTTTTGGTTTTAATTTAAGCCCATTGGGTTATTAAATGAGCCAAAATGCAAAAAAGGGAGAAACTAGGCTAATGACTTTGCTTACAGGTGAATTGTGAAGCTCTTCATTTTATTGCGTGTGGTCAAGTTATCTTGGATAAAGTGAAGAAAGAAAAGTTGTTCATGCAAAAACTAGTTTTACGACCACTTCTTTCTGTACAGTACATGGCTCTTTATATATATATATATCTATATAGTATTTCGATCTTGATAAGATTTGGTTTATATTTTAGCAGCAGAGTTTAACTATTGGATGACAAGTTTTATCAAGATATTTTGTTAGACCAAAAAGTTGTTAAGACAAAACCTACTTTTCGACCGATATTTCCTATGGCAGCTTTATGATATAGTAGTCCGATTTTGATTGGAATCCTATATATACATATATACATATATATATACATATATGTAAGAAGCATTATAAAATACCGAATTTGCAGATAGCTGTGCATATAAGAACTTAATTTTCGCCCGATTGTTTCTATGGCAACTATATGATATAATTGCCCGATATTGATACGATTTTGCATATATATAAGGAGCATACTCAAGCTCTGATATAGCTATATGATATAGGGGATCACGCCAGCCGATGCCAACATATGCATTGCCTGCAATTAATATAAAAATTTTTAAAAAGGTTTATAACTAAGAGAATAGTTTTCTTAGAAAGAGACAGACAGACTAATATGGCTGTTGATGCTGATCGGGAATATATATGCAGACAAATATGGCTATTACTGCTCATCAGGATTATATATACTTTATGAAGTTCAAATATGATCCTAGCCTTAATTAGCTCTCAATCTAAAGCAACATGCTTTCTTTTAATATTCTATTGCTATGTAAACAAAAAGTGTAAAAAGTGAACATTTTTAAATTAAGTTAAAGCACAACAAATAGAGCACAATTTTTTTATTGTGTAACACAAGAACTCAGCGGCAACTACGTGGCAGATACAAGAGTTAAGTCCTTGCTAGTCCGGTTGACTGTTCGCTGTTGCCTTTCGCTCGCATTTGCACAATATAATTTTACACGTGTGTGTGTATGTGCGTGTGTGCGCGTGTGTGTGCGCGCTGTATTTTTGGTATTTCGAGCACGTAAAACATCAACGCATAAATACAAAACATGCAACGTGCGGGACAGAAATCGAAGATGCGCGTAGCAACAACAGCAGCATTAAAGCTGCCACAGAGCGCTGAATTGTTGCGACTGCATGATTGATTGATTGATTGATTGATTGATTGATAGACTGATTGATTGAGCCAGTGTCACAACTGTTTAATCCCACACATTGCGAATGCTCTTCCAAAACAGATTTAAGCTGCATTTTAATTAAAAGTTCATCAACAATTTTCCAGCTAAATGCTTAACCCGAACTTTCATTCATGGAATTTTCGTATAATAATTGCAATTTCCTGGCAATAAACAAAAATCGTGCATAAATCGATTCATAAAAGTGAAAGTGAAATGTTTTGCATTAAAATCAAAATGCCAAGCTCTTAAGAGCATTTCATAATGATATCGTAAATACTTTAAAATTTGCATTGTTTCAACGAATTTCAGTTCTAAAGATGTTCCATACACAATTTTATCAATAAATGGCAAATAATTCTATGAAAGTCATAAAAGCAAGGCAAGAATAAATGTCTATTTTGGCAAAAACTACTCAAGTTATCATTTTAGTTGCTTCTACTAACTAAAATTAGAGAAAATTTATATTTTTAGTCATATTTGCATTAAGAATTAGCATAGTTTTGTAAGAAATTTCTTGTTTTGGAATAAATTAGTCAATAAATGACTTTGAATACGATTTTTCTTTAAGTTTTGGTTTATAAATGCAGTTATATTATAATTTCTTAAGTATTTCAAGCTTTTATTTATTTGAGAATAGCGAAAAACTTTCTAAAACCAATTGAGAGCAGTTAACAGATATATAGACAGTCTAAGAGTTCAGACTCTTTATTACTTTAAGTAAACGCTTTAAGAACTCGAACCTGATACAAAAGGTTGCGCCTGCCCGATTATAAAACATTTTTTTTATTTTTTTATTGGTATTCCTGACGCTTTCGGCCGCCTTTTGCATATGTGAAAATTCAATTTGTTATAATTTGAAAATTTCGTTTTACGTTATGGAAATGCGTACGATAAGCCGCAGACGACTGCCGAAACAGAGAAGCAAAAAGAAAAGGGGCAGAGGGGGGCGTGGCAGGGGGCAAATTTGTGGCAGCTTAAATGTCAATGCGAGCTACGGGCAACGGTTGAGCATTAGTTGTTACTCCTGTTGCGAGTTGTTTTTAGTGTTATAGTGTCCATATGCTAAGCGCCAGGTGATGTCTTTAAATAGCCAAAACACGTCTTGGCCATTTTTAGACGTTGGCCACATTTCCTGGAGGCGTGTCGTGCGGCTGTGCTGGGGCCAACACGCACACACACACACAGACTCGCACG